CTTCTTTGAGTCACGTTTCTCCATATATCTGGCTCCTGTGTTGGTGAACTAGCCTCCTTGTCAGGGGAGTCCCCTGTCTCCTCCTTGGTGGAGACGGTGTGCTCTGTTGCTTCCAAGAAGAGCTCCAGCTCTCTAATTCTTTGGAGCGTAGCTACACGTTCCTCCAGTTGCTGGACTTTGTCTTTTAAGAGGGCAATCAACATGCAATTGCTGCAGGTAAAGCTGCCTGCAACCTTTGGCAAGATGGCAAACATTGCGCAGGAACTGCAGGCGACTGCAGCTGTTCCCTCCCCTCCATCTTGAGAACGTGTCGTTGGGGGTGGCTACAGCGGTCCTCCATCATAAAAAGCATGAAGACAGGACAAATAACTCCCCCCACAAAAAAACCTAGGTCTCCCCCAACGAACGTTTGAGACTAGCTCCCCTAAATCTAAAAGATGGATCAAACTGCGTGCGCCACTAGGTGCGCGCCGCTGCCCTGCAAGCTCTGATAAGTTCCTCCCACAGCTAATCACCTGCCTCAACAGAAACCCTGCCCCCTGACTGAATCTCTCCCAGCCCTTCCTGAAGATCACAGAACAAAAGGAATGAAGACATCCACTCCATCAAATACTTGAGAGGTATCTTGACCAGGCATTTAGCAGGCATCTAAACTGCTATAGTGGAGGTGCCTGCCTCAGGATAATAGGTTGCCACCTATTTTGTCAGCTGAACATGCACTTCTTAAGTTTTTCTTCTTCTATGCCCTCTCTTGCCTCCCCATTGGAGTCTCTTCTCAACCAGCTTAACGGCAAAGTTTTAAGGGACAGAGACCTTGAATACAGAAAGGGGGGGGAGCTGCAACAAGCTCTGCACATCTGTCCACCTTCCCCTCCCTTCACAACCTCTGCAATGCTCCGAGCCTCACGGCACCTTGAAGATAACATAAGAAGAGCTGGATGACCCAGTGCAGCATCCTCTTCTCTGACCAACCTGCACAGTGCAGGTCAAACCTAGCAGATGGTGGGGCCTTGGCCTCCCACTCTCAGCAAGCACAGGAATGGGTGGGCAACCTGTGGTCTGAGGGGGCTTGGTTCCACTTCAGACACCCTCTGCAAGCAATCAGTTCGGACCACGGGCAAGAGTTATATAACTCCCATGAGAGAGAACCTGGTGGCAGAGAGGGGGTGGGCAGTAAGGGGGTCCTTATTCAACTTTCTCTCTGGCCACTGCCAGCTTTGGCCCTGTCCAACCGGCCACCCTGCGTTACAAGAAAATACCAGGGCAACTGGCGTGGGTTAAAGAAAAAGAAAATGCATTTGGTTGAGCAATCATTTCAGTTCACAGGCATAATTAAGAACTGGAGTACAAAACCTTACGCAGATGAACACTCTTCCTTGACAGGGGCATTAAAAAAATTGGAAGGGAACCATTCTCAGGAATTCAAATCTGCAAAATAAGCCGATCATTAGTGGGCAGCATAATGAAACGTTTTCTGTCCAGGCAAAACTTCAAAAGGTTCTGCCTGCTCCGTGCCGGCAGCCGTAGTCTGAAGCATCAAAGCTTGGAGCACAGGGCTGCCCCTTCCAGGCTGTTCCAGCCAAGTAGAAATGAACAACATGGGCTTGAACTTCCGAACTTTTCCAGGCCAATGTGAATTTTTAGCCCCTGACAGAGAACAATTCAGCAGGAAGGGTGAAAGGGCACATATCTGAACACCCCCCCCCACAAAAGTTCCCTGCACATAGAAAACAACCCCTTCGTTTCCCTGATTCAGAAATACCGTGGAGCAGGGAGCCTGGAAATAGCGTGGAGCAGGTAGGGAGCTGTGGGTCCAGCAGTGGAGCAGCTCAGGCAGAGAGCTTCCACTGCAGGCTCCACATCTTCCAGGTCTCAGCCAGTCCCTGATCCTTGCAGGTGCTTCCCTCTCCTCCAAGCTTCACTGGCAGCTAAGCAGGTACTCCAGGGGCAGCCAGAACTTCTGACTTGGTCCGCCAGCCCCTCTGCTCCTGTGCCCTGAGCATGATGGCGGGCGGGTGGGGGGGCGGGTTGGTTGGTCTGAGAGTCAGCCAGGAATCCACTGGCCCAGAGATGGAAAGAAGACAAAGTCCCTACCAGAGAGGAATGGCAAACCAAGCTGTTGGACTACGCTGAAATGGCAAAGCTGACCGGAAAGCTCAGGAACCAAGATGACAAAAACTTCAAGAAAGAATGGGGAAAATTTGTAGTTTATTTATGAGACCACTGTAAGCAGATGAAAACATTAGCAGGATTTTAACAACATTTGTAATGTAAGAAACATTATGGACAATATGGAGGGATACAAAAGATGGATTATAAAATAATACACACTTGAAAATGTTGACAATAGAAGCCATTGAGGAGATGGTGGGAAGTTTGGAGATTCAGAGAAATCTCTAAATATGGTTACCGGTATGTATTTGGTACTGTTATAACTTTACACTTGTAAAATAAAATAAAAATTATTTCAAAAAGAAGAAGAGAGAATCAGCCAGGAATCTGTGGCTGGTGTGGAGACATCTGCTCCTCAGCTGCAGAAGTCTAATCCAGCAGCTCCTCTGAGCCCCTGGCAGTGTGGGCGTGCAGGGATGGCAACAGCAGGTGGTGAAGGTGTGTCCCTGGGGCCCCTGCTCTCTTCACTCACTCACAGCCAGGACTCCTCTCCCCACTTTCCCATGGTGGCAGCAGACCCGGGTCTCCTTCACTTGGTGGAGCGGAAGAGCAAAGGTGGGAGCAAGGGAGGGAGGCAAGGGGGTGGAGGGCTGCTAGGGGACACAGTGAAGCCATAAAAGGGAGGGAAGGGAGCGACTGGGAAGAGGGTCCAGAGTGGCTCACCTCAGGCTGCGCCAGGCTGAGCACCCGCTTTGGAGAACTCCTCCTACTCTTCTTCTGAGGAGGCCCCAGGGCCCAGGTTTGAGCAGGGCTGAATGCCGGCAACGAGAATTCAGCCTAATCTCCCTCGCAGGCCAGTTGTCTCTGCCATTTGTCTGGGCCCAGCCTCCCGTCTCCCTCCCAAGTGGAATAATCTGCACACAGAACCCAGCCTGAAATGGAATGCTCCAGTAACATTGCAGTGTGTGGCTTTCAGGCTAGGGGTTCTTCCAAATGTTCCTAATCTGACTGAGCATTCATCCCGATTTGTGGGTAGATTAGATGGCATTGACTATTTAAGGAGCACTTAGCTTGATGTTTTTGTGGGGAGGTTAGAAGACCTTGCATCAAAGCAAGCATGATCTCATACTTCCCAGCACATTTTCCCTATCACTCTCCTTATTGCAAACATCCCAAACTTTGGGGGAAGTGGGTTTGTTGCGCAAGACCTCCCAGTCAACTATAATTTACTATTATGAGATTAAATGGCACCTGGCAATAGCAATGGTCTGGCAGTGCCTTCGCTCAGTGGCAGAGAATCCAGGTGCTTGATCCCATCCCTGGCATCTCCAGGGAGAGCTGCTGCCGGCCAGAGCAGACTATACTGAACAAGATAGGCGATTGGTCTGACCTCGTATAAGACAGCGTCCGATGTTCCTAAGCAGCCTGAGCCCCTGCTCTAGTTTTAACTCCTACATCTTATTTTACTGCTTGTGTTTTCCACATTTCTATAGAACATTTGCAAGTAAATAGTATTTCCTTTTTTTTATAAGATATTTATTAAAGTTTCAAAAATAAAAAAGGAGTTACAATAGTAATAATAAGAAAGAATAAAAAAAGAAAGAAGAGAATACAAAATACAAAAAAGTAAAAACAATTAAAAACAAATCAATCTTTCCATATCTTGTCTTTCATTCACTTGTTTCCCTGACCTCCTCACACCTCCCCTTTTTTGTATTCCAGTTCAGTAAGTTAATTCAGCAAATCCTTTCCCTCTTTGTTTTTATCTTAGACCTTTGTCTTAATATGTAATAACTGTATATTCTCATCTGTTAACAGTCCATTTTTACATACTCCTTGTAGTATTGCTGCTAAAAACCCCTTAGCTTCATTCCAACATCATTCTAACATTCATTAAATTTACAGTATTTCTGTAGATAGTCTTTAAATTTCTTCCAATCTTCTTCCACCGACTCTTCTCCCTGGTCTCGGATTCTGCCAGTCATTTCCGCCAGTTCCATATAATCCATCACCTTCATCTGCCATTCTTCCAGGGTGGGTAGATCTTGTGTCTTCCAGTACTTTGCGATAAGAATTCTTGCTGCTGTTGTAGCATACATAAAGAAAGTTCTATCCTTCTTTGGCACCAATTGGCCGACTATGCCCAGGAGAAAGGCCTCTGGTTTCTTCAGGAAGGTATATTTAAATACCTTTTTCATTTCATTATAGATCATCTCCCAGAAAGCCTTAATCCTTGGGCACGTCCACCAAAGGTGAAAAAATGTACCCTCAGTTTCTTTGCATTTCCAACATTTATTATCGGGCAAATGATAAATTTTTGCAAGCTTGACTGGTGTCATGTACCACCTGTATATCGTTTTCATAATATTCTCTCTTAAGGCATTACATGCCGTGAACTTCATACCTGTGGTCCATAACTGTTCCCAGTCAGCCATCATAATGTTATGTCCAACATCTTGTGCCCATTTAATCATAACAGATTTCACTGTTTCATCTTGAGTAGTATTCCATTTCAACAGGAAGTTATACATTCTTGACAAATTCTTAACTTTAGGATCTAACAGTTCTGTTTCCAATTTTGATTTTTCCACCTGGAAGCCAATCCAAATTGTATGCCTCCATTATTTGATAATAATGAAGCCAATCTCGCACTTTATTTTTTAGTTTTTCAAAGCTCTGCAATTTCAATTTATCTCCCTCTTGTTCCAGAATTTCCCAATATTTCGGCCATTTGGCCTCCATATTGAGATTTTTCAGAGCCTTTGCTTCCATCGGTGACAACCACCTTGGAGTTTTATTTTCAAGTAGATCCTTATATCTTGTCCAGACATTAAACAATGCTTTCCTGACAATATGGTTTTTAAATGCTTTATGTGCTTTGACCTTATTGTTGGGTGTAGTGAAGGGTTAACCTTCTGTGTCTCGAGGCTGAGAGGAGGCGCTTACAAGGGAAGTAAGCCAGGACGTGACGAAAGCAGCTTGGAATGCTGTGAGCTGAGTGAAAAGTGAAAGCAGCTTTGTTCCGCAGCTGCTGCTGAGAGAGAAGGATGCAAACGCAGAGCAAAATGCAGCTACAATCTGATGGTGTTTCTGAACTGTAAATATGCTACTTTTGAGCAAATAAAGTGCTATTAGGAAAGAAGAAACGTGTGGGACTTCTTTACTGCTCTTTCTACATGGACGCTGTGCAATTCTGCTAATTGCTTTACGACCTGCAGAGGCCCGCAGGGGGAAGTGTGCTGGACGCCAAGAGTAAAGCAATAAATCTTACCTAACATGGTTATGGGTCAACGTGAAGCGTGTGAGGAAGGGCTTTGAAGCTTTATCTGCTGGTCGTCAGCTTGATCGACTGCCGGAGACTTCAAAGAGGCAGATCGGAGGAGGCTGACGGAGGCTGGGAGCCAAGAGCCATGACGTCCGGAGTTCCCAGTTTGGCTGAGTGAGTACCTTTGGGAAAAGCCAACAGAAGGGAGGGCAATGGCTCAGCCCTGTGAACATGGCTTTGAGTTTAAACTGCCATGTCAGAGACTGACTAGCCAAAATTGGCTGCAGTGGAGCTTTCAAGTGGAGCTTTTGCTAGTGGGGGAGCAGCTGTGGAATGTAATTCACCCCACACAGAATGCAGCTGGGAAAGCAGAGGCTGAGAGAGCTGCAGAGCAAAGTGAAGTGGAGAAGCGTGTGCTTGCTTTTTTGGCAGAAAGTGTGGATGCTCATCTGGTGCCTGTTGTCCTGGGTGCAAGAAAGCCAGAGGCCGCTTGGCTAGCACTCCAAGAAGCTTGTGGAGCTGGAGTGGGAAGCAAGGGCCTAGAAGTGGCTGCATCAGAAAGGGAGAGGCAAGATGGCGCCGGCCACATTCTTGAGTGCCGATACACAGCTGGGAGGTGCTGTGAGCCCCCACAGGGGGGCGAAGGGACTGTTGCTGTTGTTGTTGCTAGCAATGCTGCTTGTGCTTTTGCTGAGCCTGGGAGCTGTGTGGATGCTGCAACGTGTCTGTGTGAGGAACCTGAAGTGGGGCCAAGTGTTGGGAGCCCTTTACCCTTCAGAGGGGGTGCAGGAAAACGTCCTCGAGACCCCGTGAGCAGTGGGGGGGGGGCAGTGAGCAGTGAAAGCTCAGAGACGCCTCTTTCTCCAAAAGCTGCCAAGAGTTGTTTACGTCGTGAGTCGGAGCCTGGGAAGCTGAAAAGGGCTAGAGGCTTCAAGGTCAGCCACCTGCAGATAGTAGAGATAAGAGCTTCAGAGTTGTGTGAGAACGCCGAGACAAGTCCAGTCTCCATGGCAACTGAGAGAGTTGCATCTACGGAAGCCGTCAAGGTCGTGGGCAAGTCTTCCTGCCGGGGGGAGTCTGTTGCCGTGACAACCAGAGAGGACATCTGCAGAAGCCCCAAGGAGGGGGGTAGTGAGGAGATTGTTGCCCTGGCGACCCAGGAATGTAAACAACAAGACTTTCTCACTGTAATAATAGACTCTGGTGCCTCAAATTCGCTAGTGCCATCTGTTGATCTTTTGAGGAATTGCAGGACAGTAAAAACTGAGAAGTATGTTACGTTTGCAGGTGGAAGCAGAAAAAGGCTAACAGAGACAGGACTGTTCTTCTGTCCTTTTCTTAAGCATGAAGTCAAAGCTTATGCAGTGCCCGGTTTAACTAACTGTTTGTTAAGTGTGCATGATCTATTGATTGATAATTTTCAAATTTCTTTTGCAGGTGACAAATGTGAATTTTCCAAGGATGGGAAACACGTGTACACAGTGCAGTCTAAAGATAATTTGTTTGCTGTAAATGTGCCTTTTTCCACAGGAGAGGATGACACCGAAGATGCGAAGGGCCAATGTGTGAATGTAGCGCCCCACAATGGTTGTTTACATATTTGGCACCGACGCTTCGCTCATTTAAATTGGAAATTTCTCCAGAAAGCACCAGAGCTGACACAAGGGTGCAAATTTAATGTTTGTGACAAATTTCTAGATTGCAATGCATGTAAACAGGCGAAAGTTGTGACATGCTCATATCCAAAGTCAGAGAGGCAGACCACGCAACCCTTTGAATTAATTCATGCAGATTTGTGTGGACCCATGTCTGTTGAGTCACTGGGAGGTTCGAAGTATTCTTTACTTTTGATTGATGATTTTTCGAGGTCTGCTTGGACCTTCTCTCTGAAAACGAAAGGGGAGGCGGCTAAAATGATCAGGGATTGGATCACCGTAGTTGAGGTAACCTTTTCCACCAAAGTTCGTGGTTTTCAAAGTGACAGAGGTGCTGAATTCACTGGTTCTGCTTTACAGGATTTCTTTAGGGAGAAGGGGATTAGCCACAGACTGACCGCTCCTTACTCTCCGCAACAGAATGGGGTGGCAGAGAGAAAGAACAGGACGGTGCAGGAAGCTGTGTCTGCGATCCTGTGGGACGCAGGGCTACCCCAGAAATTTTGGTCGGAGGCCTGGAGATATGTGGTCCATACCGAGAACAGAGTGTACAACTCTAGTGTAGGAAATACACCGTATTTCTTACTTCATGGAAAGAAGCCTAACGTACACTACCTTCGTGTGTTTGGTTGTGAGGCTTGGGTGCTTATTCCAAAGGCTCTACGCAAGAAAGGTGAGCCAAGATCTAAAAGGATGATCTTTGTAGGGTATGAGCCTGGCTCAAAGGCCTGGAGGTTTGCGTACCCAAGTGGAGACCAGTCTAGGTTGGTTATCAGCAATAGCGCTGAGTTCTGTCAGCAAGCTGGTTGGAAACGTCTGCACGCTAATCCAGACGTGCTTCCACAGCAGTTCTATGACTCAGACGAGGAGGAGGAGGAACTTGGAGCTGGGGACCACGGTCCAGAGCAACAGAGTCCAAGGCAGGGACAGCTCAGGATCCCTCAGAGGGGGGAACCTAGAACACCTCCTCAGGCAAGTGTCAAGTTTGAGCCAAAGAGTGAGCCTTCTTCACCTGCTGGACCAGCTGTAAGGCCCAAGAGGCGCAGCAGGTCAGAGGGGGAAGACACTGAAGCTGAGGATGATTTAGCTGGACCCAGTGAAGAGGCAGGGTCACCAGGAGTCACACTGAGGAGATCAGCGAGGACAAGAAGGCCTCCTGATCGGTACGACGCTTCAGGCGTCTGGGTAGGTTCTGCAAGATGTGAACCTGAATCCTTCGAGGATATTCAGAGTCTACCTGAGGAAGAAGCAGGCAAATGGCACAGGGCAATGGACAAAGAGATGAAGTCCATGAAAGATCTAGGTGTGTTCTCACTCACAGAGTTGCCACCAGGAAAGAAGGCTGTGAGTTCCAGGTGGGTTTACCGCTTGAAACCCACTGACGCTGGAGAGCCGCAGTATAAAGCCAGGTTAGTTGCTCGAGGATTTACGCAGAGGAAGGGAATACACTTCACGGAGGTGTATTCGCCAACGTCACGAGTGGAGACTCTGAGAACGCTTTTAGCTTGTGCGGCACAGAGAGGCTGGAAGGTAAACCACTTTGATGTGGATGTTGCCTACCTTAACTCAGATCTCCAGGAGGAGCTGTACATGATTCCTCCTCCGGGGTTTGAGAACTCAAGGCAGGATGTTGTGTGGAGATTGCACAAATCCATCTATGGATTACGTCAATCTGCTAGAAACTGGAACATGTGCCTGAATGAAGCTTTGGAGAAGCTAGGTTTCAGGAAGAGTCTTGCTGATAGTTGCCTGTTCCTTAGAGGGTCAGGAGACTCACAGGAGCTGGTGATGATTTGGGTTGATGACGTGCTTTTCTTCTCAGAAACAGATGAACAGGCAGAGAAGTTTGCCAAAGAGCTAGGTAAACGATTCAAGCTTAAACAGCTTGGTGCTGTCAAAACCTATCTAGGTGTCAATGTTGAGCGTGCACAGGATGGAAGTTTTTTGCTCAGCCAGAGAGGTAAAATTGAGCAACTGCTTCAGAAAATGAGGATGAGTGATTGTGCAGGAGTGAGAAGTCCTATGGAGACTAGTTTTGTGAAGGACAGCCAGCAAGTAGAACGCACTGCGTTCGAAAATACTGAAGTGTTTCAGTCAGCTCTAGGGAGTTTGTTGTACTTGTCCCAGTGGAGCAGACCTGATATAGCGTTTGCTGTCAATCTGCTCAGCAGGGAAGCCTCAAACCCTAGTGTGCAAGCCTGGAATGGCATCAAGAGAGTTCTGAGGTATTTGCAGGAGACCAAAGACTTTTGTCTTAGGTTGCCAGCACAAGGAGAAGTCAAACTGACTTGCTTTGTGGACTCGGATTGGGCTAATCTTGAGGATCGCAAGTCTGTGTCTGGCCTAGTGGTGAAGTTTGGGAACTCAGTAGTTGGATGGAGATCCAAGAAGCAAAGTCTGATAGCGCTCTCTTCCACTGAGGCTGAGTTTAGTGCTCTTTCAGAAATGTGCAGAGAAGTAGAGTTCTATGCTTGTTTGGTGCAGGAACTCTGCGAAGTGGATTGTCTGCCGATACGTGTTTTCGAGGACAATCAACCATGCCTGCGTTTGGCAGAGTCAGGTCAGTTCAAGGCCAGAACTAAACACCTAGACATTCGCTTTCGGAATGTGTGCCAGAGTGTTCAGGAGGGATTAGTTGCGCTGAAGTATTGTCCCTCTGCCAAGAACCTAGCTGATGGGTTCACGAAACCACTCACCTTCCAAAGACATGGGGAGTTTTGTGAAGGTCTGGGTTTGGGACGACCAAGGGTCGATTCTCCCCTCAGGCGCGAGACAAGAGGGGGTGTTGGGTGTAGTGAAGGGTTAACCTTCTGTGTCTCGAGGCTGAGAGGAGGCGCTTACAAGGGAAGTAAGCCAGGACGTGACGGAAGCAGCTTGGAATGCTGTGAGCTGAGTGAAAAGTGAAAGCAGCTTTGTTCCGCAGCTGCTGCTGAGAGAGAAGGATGCAAATGCAGAGCAAAATGCAGCTACAATCTGATGGTGTTTCTGAACTGTAAATATGCTACTTTTGAGCAAATAAAGTGCTATTAGGAAAGAAGAAACGTGTGGGACTTCTTTACTGCTCTTTCTACACGGACGCTGTGCAATTCTGCTAATTGCTTTACGACCTGCAGAGGCCCGCAGGGGGAAGTGTGCTGGACGCCAAGAGTAAAGCAATAAATCTTACCTAACACTTATCATACCACAAATATGCATGCCACCCAAATACATTGTTAAAACCTTCTAAGTCCAAAATGTCTGTGTTTTCAAGAAGCAGCCATTCTCTCAGCCGACAAAATACGGCTGATTCATAGTAAAGTTTAAGGTCTGGCAGGGCAAATCCACCTCTTTCTTTTGCATCCGTTAGTATTTTAATTTTATTCTGGGCTTCTTGCCCTGCCAGACAAATCTGGAAATGTCTCTCTGCCACTTCTTGTTTTTTTTTTTTTTAATAATTTTTATTAAAGTTTAAAACAACATAACACAAAAAAAACAGAAAAACTCACATAAAAATAATACAAAACTTAACAATGAAAACACAAAACACATCAATTAAAAACAAACTCTCTTTTCCATTTCCAATTTTACGTGACTTATTTTCTAGACTTCCTCAAACCTCCCTCCTTTGTATTCCAGTCCACATTGTTTGTTCAGCAATTTCTTTTCCACTTTTTTTTAATCCCAATCTTTAATTTAGTAAAATGTTAAAATATATAACTTCAATTTTTTTTAAACCTAGTCCTTGGTCTTAATATCATATAACTTTAAAGTTTTCCCTTTTAATATCAAATTTCCATAACTTTAACCTGTGCAGCTGGAAACCACTTGTTTTCAGTCCAACATCACTCTAACATTCCTTAATTTTGCAGTGTTTCTGAAGATAGTCTTTGAATTTCTTCCAGTCTTCCTCCATCGACTCTTCTCCCTGGTCACGGATTCTACCAGTCATTTCAGCCAGTTCCATATAGTCCATAAGTTTCATCTGCCATTCCTCCAGCGTGGGAAGTTCTTGTGTCTTCCAATACTTTGCGATGAGTATTCTTGCTGCTGTTGTTGCATACATAAAGAAAGTTCTATCCTTTTTTAACACCATTTGGCCGACTATACCCAAGAGAAAGGCCTCTGGTTTCTTAGGGAAGGTATACTTAAATACCTTTTTTAATTCATTATATATCATTTCCCAGAAGACCTTAATCTTGGGGCACGTCCACCAAAGGTGAAAAAATGTACCTTCAATTTCTTTACATTTCCAGCATTTGTTATCGGGCAAGTGATAGATTTTCGCAAGCTTGACTGGGGTTATGTACCACCTGTATATCATTTTCATAATATTCTCTCTTAAGGCATTACATGCCGTAAATTTCATACCTGTGGTCCATAACTGTTCCCAGTCAGCAAACATAATGTTATGTCCTACGTCCTGTGCCCATTTAATCATAGCCGATTTTACCGTTTCATCTTGAGTATTCCATTTCAGCAGCAAGTTATACATTCTTGACAAATTCTTAGTATTGGGTTCTAACAATTCTGTTTCTAATTTTGATTTTTCCACCTGGAAGCCAATTTTCCTGTCCAATTTAAATGCCTCCATTATTTGATAATAATGAAGCCAGTCTCGCACTTTGTTTTTTTAATTTTTCAAAACTCTGCAATTTCAGTCTATCTCCGTCTTGTTCCAAAATTTCCCAATATTTCGGCCATTTGACCTCCATATTGACCCTTTTCAAGGCTTTCGCTTCCATTGGTGACAGCCACCTTGGGGTTTTATTTTCTAGCAAATCCTTATATCTTATCCAAACATTAAATAGCGCTTTCCTGACAATGTGGTTTTTAAATGCTTTGTGTGCTTTGACCTTATCATACCATAAATATGCATGCCATCCAAATACATTATTGAAACCTTCCAAGTCCAAAATGTCAGTGTTTTCAAGAAGTAGCCATTCTTTCAACCAGCAGAAAGCTGCTGATTCATAATAAAGTTTGAGGTCTGGCAGGGCAAATCCACCTCTTTCCTTTGCATCTGTTAGTATTTTAAATTTTATTCTGGGTTTCTTGCCCTGCCAGACAAATTTAGAAATATCTTTCTGCCACCTCTTGAAACAGTCCATTTTGTCCACAATCTGCAAAGTTTGAAACAAAAACAACATTCTGGGCAATACATTCATTTTTATCGCAGCAATTCGGCCTAGCAGTGAAAGCTTCAAATTTGACCAAATTTCTAAATCTTTTTTCACTTCTGACCAACATTTTTCATAGTTATCCTTAAATAAGTTCCCATTTTTTGCTGTCATATTAATCCCCAGGTATTTAACTTTCTTAACCACTGTTAAACCTGTCTCATTCTGAAACCTCTCTCTTTCAAACAGTGTTAAGTTTTTCTCTAGAACCTTGGTTTTTAATTTGTTCAATTTAAATCCTGCCACTTGACCAAATTCTTGAATCAGTTCTAAAACTCTTTTAGTACTAGATTCTGGCTCCTGTAACGTCAATACTAAGTCATCTGCAAATGCTCTCAATTTATAGTGTTTAGTTCCGACCTGTATACCTTTAACCATCTGGTCCCTTCTAATCATATTCAGCAACACCGCCAGGACCGATATAAAAAGAAGAGGGGAAATTGGGCAACCTTGTCGTGTCCCTTTTTCAATTTTAAGTTCTTCCGTCACAACGTTATTTACAATTAGTTTAGCCTTTTGTTCTGAATAAATTGCACTTATACCATTCTCAAAACCTTGGCCTACCCCCATACCCTGAAGATTCTTCTTCATAAAATTCCAAGAAATATTGTCAAAGGCTTTCTCCGCGTCTACGAATATCAACACTGCTTTAGTGTTTATATTCACTTCTAGTTTTTCCAAAATATCAATTATATTCCTCAAATTATCAGACAAATGTCTTCCTGGGAGAAAGCCCGCTTGGTCTTTATGAATCTCTTCCAACAGCACTTTTTAAAATTTCTTCGCCAAAATATCTGCAAAAATTTTGTAATCCACATTGAGTAAAGATATAGGGCGGTAGTTCTTTAGTTGTGTCTTTTCAGCCTCTGTTTTTGGTACAAGTGTAATATAGAATCATAGAATCATAGAATCATAGAGTTGGAAGAGACCACAAGGGCCATCGAGTCCAACCCCCTGCCAAGCAGGAAACACCATCAGAGCACTCCTGACATATGGTTGTCAAGCCTCTGCTTAAAGACCTCCAAAGAAGGAGACTCCACCACACTCCTTGGCAGCAAATTCCACTGTCGAACAGCTCTTACTGTCAGGAAGTTCTTCCTAATGTTTAGGTGGAATCTTCTTTCTTGTAGTTTGGATCCATTGCTCCGTGTCCGCTTCTCTGGAGCAGCAGAAAACAACCTTTCTCCCTCCTCTATGTGACATCCTTTTATATATTTGAACATGGCTATCATATCACCCCTTAACCTCCTCTTCTCCAGGCTAAACATGCCCAGCTCTCTTAGCCGTTCCTCATAAGGCATTGTTTCCAGGCCTTTGACCATTTTGGTTGCCCTCCTCTGGACACGTTCCAGTTTGTCAATGTCCTTCTTGAACTGTGGTGCCCAGAACTGGACACAGTACTCCAGGTGAGGTCTGACCAGAGCAGAATACAGTGGCACTATTACTTCCCTTGATCTAGATGCTATACTCCTATTGATGCAGCCCAGAATTGCATTGGCTTTTTAGCTGCCACGTCACACTGTTGGCTCATGTCAAGTTTGTGGTCAACCAAGACCCCTAGATCCTTTTCACATGTACTGCTCTCAAGCCAGGTGTCCCCCCATCTTGTATTTGTGCCTCTCATTTTTTTTGCCCAAGTGCAATACTTTACATTTCTCCCTGTTAAAATTCATCTTGTTTGTTTTGGCCCAGTTCTCTAATCTGTCAAGGTCGTTTTGAAGTGTGATCCTGTCCTCTGGGGTGTTAGCCACCCCTCCCAGTTTGGTGTCATCTGCAAATTTGATCAGGATGCCCTTGAGTCCATCATCCAAGTCGTTGATAAAGATGTTGAATAAGACCGGGCCCAAGACAGAACCCTGTGGCACCCCACTAGTCACTCTTCTCCAGGATGAAGAGGAACCATTGATGAGCACCCTTTGGGTTCGGTCAGTCAGCCAGTTACAAATCCACTGAGTGGTAGCATAGTCAAGACCACATTTTACCAGCTTCTTTACAAGAATATCATGAGGCACCTTGTCAAATGCCTTGCTGAAATCAAGGTAGGCTACATCTACTGCGTTCCCTTCATCCACCAGGCTTGTAATTCTGTCAAAAACGAGATCAGGTTAGTCTGACATGACTTATTTTTCAGAAATCCATGCTGACTATTGGTGATCACAGCATTCCTTTCTAGGTGCTCACAGACTGTTTGCTTAATGATCTGCTCCAGAATCTTCCCTGGTATTGATGTCAGACTGACTGGGTGGTAATTATTTGGGTCCTCTCTTTTCCCTTTTTGAAAATAGGGACAACATTTGCCCTCCTCCAGTCTGCCAGGACTTCGCCTGTTCTCCAGGAATTCTCAAAGATGACTGCCAGTGGTTCTGAGATCACATCTGCCAGTTCTTTTAATACTCTTGGATGCAGTTCATCTGGCCCTGGAGACTTGAATACATCTAAACTAGCCAAGTATTCTTGTACTATCTCCTTAGTTATTCTGGGCTGTGTTTCCTTTGCTGAATCATTTGCTCCAAATTCTTCAGGTCGGGCATTGTTTTCTTTATCGGAGAAGACTGAGGCAAAGAAGGCATTGAGGAGTTCAGCTCTTTCTGTGCCCCCTGTTTGCATTTCACCATCTTCTCCTCTGAGTGACCCCACTGTTTCTTTGTTCTTCCTTTTGCTACGGACATACCCATAAAAGCCTTTTTTGTTGCTTTTAACCTCTCTAGCAAGCCTGAGTTCATTCTGTGCTTTAGCTTTTCTGACTTTGTGTCTACACGTGCTGGCTATTTGTTTGAATTCCTCTTTGGTGGTTTCCCCCCTTTTCCATTTTTTGTACACATCCTTTTTTAATCTTAACTCAGTTAAAAGTTCTTTAGATAGCCACCCTGGCTT